GGGGGGCTGGCGTTGGGGCTTGGTGTGGAAAACGAGAGATTAGCACGAACCTTATCGCCCGGGTCGCCCTTGCTGCTGACGCTCCCGCCCTGGTCTAACGTGCGACGTGCGTGGTCATAGGGAACGACCGTCTTTGAAGGGGGGGGGGGGGCAGGCGGTGGAGGCACGGCTGCCCACGGGAGGGAGCTTGGGAGCTTAAACCATTCCTGTGCGTGGTTTATCGTTACAGCCCGGCTCCTGCTGCTGCTAGCCAGGTCGTGGGACGTACATTATCGACGTGGGAGCAAGGGAGGGAACACGAGCCTTCAATAAATGCAGGGCAGGGAAAGGTCCTGTTGACAAGCGGTTTGATGCACAAAAACTTCAAATGAAATGCCACCAAAATAATGCTATGAGTGGGGGACAGAATGGAAGTTAATTTCCGCGTGATTCGACAAACCTTGCTCTAGGTAAATGGGCAGACAGATGTGGTGGTGGTAGAGGGAGAACCTAAGTGCTCGAGAGGCGCCAGTGCGTCGGCCGACGATGCCACCGCCATGTGACGCAATGCGAGGGAGTCGACATTCCCGGGCAAGTCCTTGGAATGCCCGCCTACATTTCTCTTCCACCGCGGCTGCGGGTGGGGCAGACACCAGACACGCTCAAAAGTGCGTGCCGTGCGCGGGCTGCGCGGGCTCCCCTGCACCGGCCCCGTGCTTTCTCAGTCCCGGCTGCGTCCGCCAGGCGAGGCCTCCCGTCACTTCCGCCTACGTCCGCGGTGCTCGCCGCAGTTGGGCGCAGTCGCTGCCGGGGCCACGGGGGGAGGCAACGCAGCAGGAAGACAGCGGAAGACGGGACCTCTAAACTCGGATGCCGCCCCCGGCGCCGCCGAGATAGATGGGGAAGTGAGATGCACTTCCCGGGCGGACGTGGGTGACGCAACGGGTAGTGGAAAGGGAGACAGGGTCCGGGTGAGAGACGGCAGCCACGAGGTGCGCACACTTTATAGGCAAAATGTTTGTATACGTTGTTTTATTTCTGGTTTACACCAATCCCGAGATCAAAGAATCGTATCCGTCAGTGAACACCTAGCTGTGAATTGTAATTTTTATCCTGAGCAGCTGCAACATCTTCCGAATGAGTACAAATCCACCTCTAAATAGTGAGTTTGCTTCATCGTGATTCATTTTTCCATTGCCTTTACGACTACGCAATGAAAATTATGGGTGGAGGGGTAGGTCTTTGAGGGTGGGTCTTACAAGTAGGTAACAAGTATCTGTAGCGGGAGGTACACTGAACAAAAGAGGTGATGGTCGGTCTTACCTGGTAGAGAATGAACCAGCGCTGTTGCCACTTGCCAGAGTCGCCCGCTCTCTTGTGCAGGTACCCAGACAGTGAATTGTCCACCTGGGCACGCTCGGAGAGCATCACCAGCTGGGCGTCGTTGACGCGCACACTGCGCTGCATCTTGGGGCTCAGCATGGCGTGGCCGTGGGGCGCGGCGCGGCTACACAACGGGCCCACAGGTCGGCGCTGGCGCTAGCGCTGGCGGGTGGTCTCGGGAGGCTGGCGGGCGGCGGACAGCGGCCTGGCCCTGGGCCTGGCGGGCGGCAGCCTCGCGGGCGGCGTGCGACCACACGCACACACAGTGCAGCCACGAGGGGCTCCTGCACAACACAACATCAAACTCTCATACAATTTGAACATCAAAAATTACTTTTATTTCTAAAATTTTCACGTAACTTTGACTACTCAAAGCTAGCTCGTTAAAGTTAAATAGTTCTTCAAGTTAAATAATTTTGGTTTGATAATTTCTGAATTTGATTCAATACCTCGTTACATAGTAACACAAGAAATCTACAAGCAATCAACTATAAAAATATATCATGTTCAAAAAGCCAGCAAGTCTGGACCTGCGCCTTAATCTGACAATATAGCAAATCAACATATAGATCAAGTTTCCTCCGCCCCCAAGTACTTAGGACTTCACCTGGACGACAATCTTAAATAGAATTAACAAGCTAAACCACCTGACACCGAAGCTAAGGGCAGCAGCTGGCCTTATGTCTTTTTCACAGCAAATATAGACCATCCTTTATGACTACTTTCATTCACACATTTCATACTTGTTGGGTACCTGAGAGCGTGCGAGCAAAATCATCATCACGCGTATCACTACACTGCAAAAAGGAGTACTCCAGACCATTAACAGTCCATCCCATCTTTTTGAGTCAAACAAGCTATACCCAACAACCAAAAGCACACCGTTTGAAACCATCTCCTAAATGCAATCTGCCAATCTGCCTCAATAATATACTTCCCCATTTACTAAAACAAACTTTTAGCAACCTATGTCATCCAAAATTATCTATCCACTTACAATAACCCGATCCATTAATAACATACCCCCATTATTAACCCTACCAAGTATAGCCTCAACACTGTATACCACTAAACCTCCTATACAACATCCTGCCAGAAGCCAGCAAGTCTACAAGTGTCAAGTAAATTTAAAAAGCTTGTTAATATTCACTTCCGCAATACAAAAAACTGTCAATTGTAAAAACACCGTACTTTTCTGCTTCTAACAAATTTTAATACTATTACATTATGCCATGTTCATCGGCTCTAAATAAAGTAACTTTATGTTCAACGTAGGGCTGTGCCCTTTGGACTATACCAGATGGGTTTAATGAATGAAGGAAAAAAAGCACTTTCTTCCCCTCTCGAACACCCAAACTTTCGGTCAAAGTTTCGGATCCAAGGCTGGCGAGGGGTGTGGAACTGGACACAATATGTGTGCATCGGGAAAAACATTCAGAAAAGATCATGAAACAATCGAACACAATCACACACAATCCGAAACAATCACACACAATGACGAAGCAATCACACGGAATCCGAAACAATCACACACAATCGACACAATCACATACAATCGGAATCAATCACACACATTCAGAAACGAGCACACAAAATCGGACACAAGCATGACACAGTTTTAAAAATTATGTCCCAAAACTTACTTAACATTCTGGAACAATCAGAGGCAATCATCGAAACAAATCATACACAATCACACACAACCGCACACAATCTGAAACAAAGATTGTCTAGAAACAATTAAGTGTGTACTTTTTTGGTCAGTTCCACGCCCCTCGAAGGCTGACAAAAAGTGACGAAACCGCAACGGGGTGGAAAAAGGCGAAGTTTGCTGACCACTGCTCCACTCCATGGCCACTCCCTCTTGGCGAGTAGTTGAGGCTCATCAAGCAAAACCACCAGTTTATGAAGTTTCGCGTGATTTCCAACTCCAACAGAGGCAGGAGGCGGACGCGGGCGGACGCGCGGTGGCCTGGGCCCGCAGGGCCGGGAGAGGAGAGGCGGGGAGGGGGATAGGATTTCAAGGGGGTGGCTCTCAACCCTCTTGACGTCACTGAGCGAGCACCAAAACATGAGGACCTGATCCCCCCTCCTACCAATACCACCCAAACCCGCCCCCCTTGCTGCCATTTTTTCACGTCTGCTGTTTGAGGCGCCCTACCTCCGCCCTTCCCCTTTATTATTTTACGTTAACTATTTTATTCATCCTGCCTGGCCGGGGGGCTTGGCGCGGTGGCCCGGCGCGGCGCAGCTGGCAGGGTAGCGAGGCGCCCCGGGCGAGAAGCTACTCTGTGCGTGCGATCGCGTTCGCTTATTCGTCATGTTGAAATATTGCCCTATTATGATGGACACATACGACCCTATGTCGCAGGATGCGAAATAAACGACAGAAGTATCTCCGTGGCCTGGCGGGAAGGAATAACTTTAATACGGTGGCTGCGGCAGCGGGTGGTGAGGCGGAGCCATAGTGAAATGTTATTCATTCTCTATACCGTAACGGTGCGGGCCCTCTCAAATGTGATGAGAAGGGGCCTGGGTCAAATTAATGAAACTAGGAATATGAGAGGGAGTAAAGGGGGAGGGGGGAGGACCCCAGGCTGCAACTAATATGTACAGCGTTCCGGTTAATTCGAATGTCAGATAAAAATTGCAAAAAACTGCACTTAACATCTGACGATTATCAACAAATAACAGATAGGCCTGCCCTTTAGCCAAAAGGACTTTGCCAGCTCCACTTCACTGGCAATTCCGTTTCGAGGGGGCCGGGCTTGCTTGGATCTCTGGCCTATTCGTCTCGTCACTATGCACTTCTGCACTATTTACTTTGGTTTTCTTACGAAACACACATTTGTACCTGTCGTCGTGTGTACTAAGTACGCTATTGGGTTTGGTTGCATTGCAGTCGCTTTTGTAGTACTTCACAATAAATGTATTTCCCCAGTTCTTTTGGAACTATTATTGTGTTTTTGTTTTTGTTTTTTTTTTTAACTTCACAATAAATGTATTTCCCCAGTTCTTTTGGAACTATTATTGTTAGTACTGTGGATTAGTTTACAGTGTACATAGCGCTAAGGTGGCAGGTTTCATAAAGTAAGCAAAACATTATTCCCACCTTCCTTTTGCAACCCTACGATGACTTTCAACTAGACCCAAGACCAAAGATAACGCAAAGTCAGTTCACATTAGAATTGATTTTTAGAAAGGTAGTGGGTTAGTTCTTAGTTAGGTCACTAAAAGAGTATGGAGGTAGAGGTAAAAGGACGGAGACAAAGTGCCTTATGATTAAGGAGGGGCTGGGACAGATGCGTTTTTTTCGCAATTTATAGAAAGCTAGGAGATCAATTGCTTGCGCGATCGGCGCGTGCCGTCTATGGTTTAAGTACACAAACACTAGGATGATTTTATCAATACGGTCACAATTTTCTTTGTTTTGAAATGAGAGGAAAATATTGTTATGGAAGTTTGCACCGCAACAGACATTTTTTCATGGTACGTACTTTCAGTTTAACAATTAATTTTAGGTTTTCTGTTTATTAAAGTCCTCCTGCAGTAATGCACAAAACACTGTGATCAACATGTGCAACGGTTCTGAGGCAGTAAAAACTATGACCATTTAACGAGTCCTTGTCGTTTCGATCGATACAGTCAGTAGCACTAAATATTATTGTAAACGTCCTGGTGTAGAACACAAGGTCATGTACATTGTACAACTCTAACAATGCATGCGCACAAATGTGCACTGGTTAAAAAAAGGCGCTAAGTCGTTTTTATTTCAATTATGTGCCTCTACAAAGGCTCTAAAGAGCCGTGAAGGTGCTAAAAATTAGTTGCTTTGGCAGTTGTGCCTTTACTAAGACATTAACCCTTTTAGAGGTTTGTCTCAGACCCTCTGGTTTTGAAGTGTGCTGACATCACTGAAGTCCAAAAGTATACATTAAAATGTGCGGTTTGTTGCCGCATTTACTTTACGAATTTGTAACTTCATATTTATTGTGAACGGGCCTGCCGACTCCTTGACTAGGAGAGCCGAAATGAAACGATACACAAACGAAGGCGGGGGGAACCTCAATTTGAGATTACGTTCACTTCGGGCCTCAGTCTGATTGTTTGATCCCAACAGTTGAGATGAGACGGCTCCCATTAGCCTATTATCCCGAGAAGCAGTCGCAATTTTATTCATTCCCCGGAGAATTCTTATCGCCCAATGATATTTGCTGGTCTGAGCGGCATCTAATCAAGACGTTTTAAGAAAAGTGGTGGTTCAAAATATAAAAAGGCCTACGTAGTAGTTCTACATTTTGGTCAGTCGCTAATCCCGGGAGCTTCGAAGCGGCAGGTGCGAGTGAGATGATCGAGCCGACCATAGATGTACCATTTCACTCGCACATACTGCTATTCGTGAGCACCTGGAACTAGAGGACTGAATAACACAGACCTCTAGCGGGAGAAATGGAAGACGATAGAAATACATGGTTTTCCAAATCTATACAGAAAGAATTAAATTTGGATTCTACTGTCGAATGAAGGATTTCGTGATGGTGTAATAAGGGTGCGCAAGTGGAAGTCAAAGGTAGTTGAAATGAAGAGTGAAGGAAGAAGTCTGGATGAGATAGGCAGAAGAAAAAAAAGCATCCAAGATAGAATTTTTATATATTTTTTTCTTAACATCTACATAAATGAAAGAGAGAATGAGTGATGCACATAACACACAGGGCCTGGAAAGAGGAGCGTTGCAGCAACAAGCAAACTTCAAAGCAATTTGTTACTACCCAAATATGCGGGAAAGAGATTAAATTCACTAGAAATGCACTATTTAAGACCGTTTTCTCCCTCTAGAAAAGACTAAATATCCTACCTCTGGCCTGCATATTATATGTATCTTGTCCCCCACCCCCACCCCTCCAGTATATCTTTGCGATCTTTGCTATGCTCGTTGCTGTTCCTATGACTCGTCTGAGAGGCCTTCAAAGCGGCCGAGGGTAGCGGGACCAAGCCAATCCTGAGCGGGGCGCCCCAACTGTTGCGCTACTCACTGGAAGGACACGGCCGGGGCGTCCCTGTAGAAGCACATGTCGGCAGACGGGCGAGCGGGTGAACTACCTGCGGCGAGCCCTGCAGGCCTGTCGCCTATCGGCCTGCTGGCCCTGCTGGCCTGCCTGCTGGCCTGCCTGCGCAGGGCCTAGGGCCTGAACGGGCCTGGCCTGGCCTGGCCCCTCCTCTCCGTTGGGCAGAGACAACCACCTGCTACCAGCGCGCTGGCATGACTGAGAGGAGCAGCGCCAGGGCTGGCGGCCGCCAGGGCTGCGCGGGCCGGTGGGGCCCAGCGGGGGCCAGCGGGAGCCCCCACCACCACCGCGCTGGAGCGAGGGGGTGAGTCCGGGGTGAGGTGGGGGTGGGGATAAGAGGAGGGGAGAGTGAACGAGGGGCCGAACACGCGATACAACCACACAGCTGCCGTACCGCGCGGCGCGTCAGGAGCGGAATTCATGGGGCCTCTTATTATTATTATTATTATTATTATTATTTCGGAACGCCAGGGCCGTTGACAAATTACGTCACGCTCGTTGGGGTGATTTTTGACCCCCCCCCCAAATCACGTACACATCACGTGCAGCCCCCCCTCCCCCCTCTTCCGCGTGGCGTCACTTTTTTTACGAATCAAATATGTACCATAAAAAAATATGCACGAACATAGATTAAAGTTTTTAAAAGCAGAATGATACATTTTCAATTGACTTTAATATGTGAAAGTCATTTTAAACTGTATTTTAACTGAGCTCAGCTGGGGATGGGCCTTATGTTAGCAAAAATATGTTAACTGCACTGCACTGCCTACCTCACAAAATGCGTGACGTCACGATCTCGTTGACTCTCCCCTCGTCGCGCGTTCATCATGCTATGCTTGGACCCTATCCCCCCCCCCCCCCTAAAACGCGTGACGTCATTTTGTACGGCCCAAACAGGCTCAGCGGGTGGTTCTCCTGAAACACTGTTACGCTGCGTCGTGCCTGGTGCATCGACGTGCTGGGACTGCGGCCTACGGGGCTCGTTCTGAGAAGTTTATTTACAGTTACAACGTTCAACTTTCAACTCGACCTGCCTTTTAGTAGAAGCTGAAATTTTCGGATCGCTAGCTTATTCCGTTTTTGAGTTATCGTCAGGGCAGAACATACAACGTGACAGAGACCTGACTAAATTTTTTCGATCAGCTTCGCTATTTCTCTGCTAATTATATCAGCGAAGAATACGTGGATGTCGGTTTGCAGACGCCGACTGGGCGGCCGACGCTATTTTATTTCTGCATGCGATAGTAACAATGTCGTCCCAGGACCTCTACTCTGGAGCGCCCGCAACGTCGCGGGTAGGTGAGCCTGTAGAGCAGCTACGTTGGCTGTGTTGCCTACCTGGTGGTTTGCAGGCGCTCCGTAGTAGCTTCACTCGCACCCTGTCACTGATTTTTTCTTGCTCTTTTGACATTATTACATCTGTTATTGAAAACCTCCCTCTAAAGAAGGAATGTTCTAATCAGATCACAGATTCACAGATCACAGAGTATTCTCGCATAATCTAACGAAACACGATCACGAAACACTATTATGTTCCGACGCGCTAAATTTTCAATTTTGACAAAATCCTGTAAGGTAAAGATTGTTGTACACATTCTAATGGGTTATTTTTTTCGAAACCATTGTCGTTCCACTAAAATAGCACCGAATTTTGCAGAAGTTGCTAACTTCTCAAATGCACAAATTTTACATCGAACATTTCGATATCAGTCTGGTTACACAGTTACGGATTGTGCAGATGAACTGGCGCAAAGAAAATTTCCATCACAGATGGGAAATATGTATCTTGGCGCACAGTTTCTAGAATCCGCTGGAATTTTTCATACCCGCATCCGTTTTAGAAAAATTAAGGAAAAACGATCAAACTTGTCCGGAATGAAGCATTCCGGTAAAGCCGAAACGGGGGGGAAATCACTTGGGTTCGTAGCGTACGGACTATTTCGTGGTATTTCTCCCGCCATTTCGGTTATTTCCCATGTCATTTCGGTTATTTCTCGCCTATTTCGGATTATTTCAGGGTATTTCGCGGTATTTCACAGAATTTCAGGGGTATTTCGCGACTTTTACACCGACTATTTCGCGTCTATTTCGGGTCTATTTCGCTCTATTTCGCCTTCATTTTGCCTTTATTTCGGACTATTTCAGGGGGAGGTGTACGAACTATTTCGCAAGTGATTTCCCCCGCGAGCTGAAATGCAGAAGAATGCGGGGAAGAAGAAAACGGAAATAGCTATGCTTTAACGTGGTGACTTCCGTTTTCATCTTCCCCGCATTCTTCTGCATTTCAGCTTTACCGGAATGCTTTATTAGACACTTTGACGGTTCCCTGAGGATTTGAAGTCAACGTCAGCCCTTTTTTAATTTGTTGTATGAACAGAGAGACTGAAAAATTGTTTTCCAGCCAACAACGGAATAATTGGCTGAGCGATAGCGGTAGCGAAGCGTATTACTCCAATGCTACTAGCTAAATATACGCCAGACCACGTCTCGCGTAACAGGCTTCACAATATCTCACGAAACACTGGTACGCTGCGACGCGCCTGGCTCACACCTACCTAGGCCTCAGCGCTGACACTAGAGCCGGACAAAAGACACATTAAGGGGTGGGGACTCTGCGCAGCCTCTCGCAGTCAGAAATGCAATATCGATAACGTCTTTTTTTTTATTTCATTCAAAGACCTCTTAGGTGTCCAGAGGTAGCCTTGACCCCAGAACTGGGCGACTTATGTCGACTTCTTGCTGGACACCTTCTGGCTGTACACTAAATGGAAAAGGACAATTTTGTATCTAGGAGAGATGCGTTCTTAAGCACATCTCTAGCGGATGCAAATTTGCACTTAAATTGGACACAAATAAAGTCATTTGTACCTAGTCTAGGTACATATTGTAACTTTTTCGATACAAATTTGCATCCGCTAGAGATGTGCTTAAGAACGCATCTCTCCTAGATGCAAAATTGTCCTTTCCACATTTAGAGTGTGGTCTTCCGCGTAATGCCATTTTCTTCACTAGAGATAATAGTGTATTTCGACTAACGGAGGAAGAACAGCGGGTAGAACATAAACGGTACCGATTGGTCGAGAGCTTCCCGCCTCTACGTCACGCCGATAGTGGGGGTAGGCGCACGGCCAATCAGGAACCTTTATGTTCTACCCGCTATTCTTCTTCCTCCGTTAGTCGAAATACACTATAAGGCGTTCAGGAGGTAGTCGACATTAGTTCCCTAGTTTTCGGTGCTAGGCGACTTATGTCGAGTGGATGATTACCTGCTGGACGACGTGGATTTACAGTGTGCGGATGTGAACACACACTTTGTTACTAGGTTGAGAAAGAAAAAGTGTCCCTCTTCATATATGGTATACATAGAGGGTGAGAGTGATCCTCTGAGACGCTGGGAAGCGCATTGTTGGTAGGTAGGTACAAGCGTGGGCTCCGATGTTATTGTTATTGGATATCTAAGAAACTCTTTCGCAAAACGAAGGACCGGGAAAAGAAACCCCAGATAGAAAAGATTGGGGGAACAGATTAGAACCGAGAAAGGGCGAGGGGTTTTGGTGAGAGAGGGGGTGATTCGTCCATTAGCGACCGTGGGGGGATCAGTCTGCGTCAGGTCGAACTGGGTTGGGGGGCCAGGCCGCAGCGCAGGGCCGGACGATCTCCTAAGAGTAATGGGGCGACTGATGCCACGAGAATATGAAACTGTCGGGAGGGAATGGGGAAGGGGCAGGGAAATCAAAGATTATAATAGAAATGTCAATTTGATGAGGAACATACGAAAATTAAAACAAAAGGCGACGGCACATGCGAACTCATCTGTGAAAAAGCGGCCGGGCGTAACGCGTTCGCAAAAGCGGAAGCAAAAGAAGAAAGAAGATAGCTGCGTGGCGCAGATGAGAAATGAAAGCTGAGCGGACAAGTCGTTGGCTGAAAAGGGGGCAAGGGAGTGGGAGGAGAGGGGGGGTATGGCTCTTGTGTGTGCCAGGGCCACTAGGGCTACCTGAGGGCGCTCCTGCTTGGAGGAAAGCTAGCGGCACTAGCAGCCATCGCCACCACCACGCCCTCGACACACACCCCCTCAGTGCCCACACTCTTGTTTCCTCTGGCTAGCACGTTACGCCAGTCGTTTTTAGACAGTCCCCTATAGACTGTCTTTATTGGGAGAGCTAAATTAAAATTTGAATTGAACTTTAACTTTAAAATTGGCTAAGCTAAATTGAAAATTGAATTGAACTTTAACTTAAAATGCTCAGCCCTGTGAAATAGCGCCACGGGAGGCAGACGGGAAGCTGGCGCAAGGCGCCAGACGCCAGGCGTGAGACGTGAGAAGTGAACAGGCTTGTCAACCAAAATCGCGAAAACATACCAATGACAAAGGGTATAACTAAGTTGTAATACAAAGAAAATGTGATGAAATCATCACAAAAAATGTAATAAATTAATTTTTGTAATGACTTTATCACAATAATGTGATACTCTTATCACATTTTTTGGAGTTATCATGCCCATTAGCGTGGGAATCGCAAAACACCAGTTTTCGCATGGTTTTGTGTTAAAAGTATCGCAAAACCAGACTCAGTGAAGGGACGCTCTACGATGTCTTCTTGAGTGCGATACAATAAAATAAAACAAAATTTATCTTACAACAAAAATAATAAAACGAACTTTAAAATACATATAATGCAAGACTATACCATTAGATTTTTGATTTCAAGGACGAACGAACAGTTCGCTGTTCCTCGAGTTTTCGACTGCGAACATGTTTGCTCATCTCTAACTACTACGCAGCTAGCTGGCGCAGACGGGGCAGCGCGTCGTATGAGCAATTAATTACTGGCGTCAAACTAAATGAAAGAATGGTTGAGGCAAGACATTTCCTCCTCACTTGAAATAGTAATTACTGTATTTATATATGGACGGACAGACGGTCAGGAGAGCGGTTATTGGCTCACTCAGAAACCTAATTCAAAACAGGAGGGTCGGCTAAAGTCACTATGAAAGTAGAAGGGTCAGCGGGTGGGAATGGACAAGCTACATTTCTCTCCTCTACGACAGAACGATTCTCTTCTACAAACTGGATATAAATTGTGCACCATCGTGGCAGATCACCGATATTTTTTCAACACAACAAAAAGAAACTGACAGCATACAGCCCAGGCAAGCCGAGCCACTTCGCTGGCCATCACAGGCACAGGTTT